CACATTTAGTGTATCAAAAAGGCTCGAGAACACGTAACGAGGTTTATTTTCCAACGTCGACCTTTATCCGTTCCGTGACGATCTTGAAACAATATTTGAATGAGCGAAATCTGCGTGGTCTAGTGGAACGATACATGCCGGCGCCGGTTCAACGTTCATTGCGGAGATAAAGGCTAAGTCCCAGAATTTCGCGAGGAAAACGCGGGCAAACACGTGAAACGGCGCATGCGCGAGGCACGAACCACGGGGATGCTTTACGAGCGGAAACCGGGCGCCGTGCCGCCCTTTTGTTCGCCGCGCCACGAAACGTGGGACTTACAAATTGGAATACAACGGGTCCGGAGTTAGGAGAATCGTTTCACGCTTCGCGGGGGCGCCAAGTGGAAGGCAAACACCGATAAAAACTGCATGAATAAAGCACTAATGGACGCACCATGGATAGGGGAATAAACGCGAGGAATGGCCGCGGGGAGGCGCAGGTGGCGTTTCCCTATTCCTTTCTTCCTCTCGCCCGACTTAATGGCCTATCGGGGATGAAAATTGGAAAGGGAAATGGTATGAATGGGAAAAAGCGAAGTTCCTCTATGGAAGAGTTTGTCGAGGTGTGAGAGAGAGTTCGGGGCTGGTCTCCTCGGGACCAAAGTGAGGTTAGGAAGACGATGTTAATTCATTTGTAGTGGCCAGAACCTTTGTGAGTGGATGACTGTTTGATTTGAGTTGAAGTGATCTATAAAGAGTGCTTAAAATTGTGTACGAAACACGCGTAACTCGAATGATTTAACAGTTTACTGCTGTTGGAGTCGCTGGGACTTATCGTGGCTAGGGAATTGGGAAAACGAGATTAGTTATTCCATCTTTAACGATATTACAATTACGATATTAATATTCCTAAATTTTTCAGAATTTGAATAAATTTAAATTCGTATTTTTTAATTTATATTTTTAAAAATTGGTAATTAAATGGGCTCGCATCACAAAAATACGATAATACGATACAACTATAATACGATACCCTATTTTTCTTCGATAAAGCAAATATTCAAGACGAATCCTATACTTCTTTAATAAATTCTCAATCTATTCACTTATTATAATAAATATCGATACTAAATGGACACACATATGTGCTTCCAATATCCAAACTATAATAATCGCACTTATATCCAGAATCTTAGGTTCATTACGAACGAATGTAAGAAAAGGACGATTTCCAAGAAATAGTACCAGCTGTTGGAAAATATGGTGGACCTCACAGGGAATTATGAGAACGGATTCACAGGTTGTTAATTAATCAGAACCCTGATAGGAGAGCACGTTCGCAGGTAGAACACGAGTTCGCATGAAATCCTACGACGTAATTCGAGTTTCAAGTATCGATCCTGTGCACGTGAAACGTATTCAGGAGCGATCGTGGCACTCTTATCGGGTGGATAGCGTTTCGCGTGAATCACCTGCCGACGTTTAACGACGTGCAGTAGCTAATTTGTCATACGGCCGCGGAGCACGGTGACACGCGTTGAAGTAATAACACGCGTTGCTGCAGTTAACGCGCCCGTCAGCCTGTACTTTAAACGAGAAACGCAATCAATCTCCCCGGTGAATCGAGGATCCTTGATATCCCGTGCACGTTCTAACATTCTAATTTCGGCGAATTCGTTCGTCGTGAAGCATTATCGGGAAGAAGAACGAGTCTGAAATTGCGATCCTCGAGGGTATCACACGGTAACAATAATTGTTACCAGGTATAGTAATAGTTACTAGCGCGCGGTAATTGTTACTAGCGCTGCGGTAATTATTACGGATGGATGACGAGTGTTATTGATGTATCGTAATTTCTGCTATGATATTTCGCAAGTATCACCGTTGTATAGCAATTATTGTCAATGTCTAGTAACGTTTGGAATGTGTAGCAATTATCACTAGCGCGTAGTGGCGTTTGGAATGCGTCGTGATTATCACTAGCGCATAGTTACGTTTGGCATGTGTAGTAATTATTACCAGCACATAGTAACTCGTACTATCGTGACTATTATCGTATAGTAATTACTATCAGTTTGCGAGGACCATTAATAACGTCTAGTAATTATTACCAGCACATAGTAACTCGTACTATTGTAACTATTATCGTATAGTAATTACTATCAGTTTGCGAGGACCATTAATAACGACTAGTAATTATTATTAGCACATAGTAACTCGCATTATCGCGACTATTATCGTATAGTAATTACTATCGGTTCGTAAGAGCCATTAATAACGAGTAATTATTACTAGTGCCTAGTGATTTTGACCGCTGCATGGTAATTATCATTGCCAGTGATTTCTGTCAGACTATAGTAATACGTGATAACGTTTCGAACCCTGCTGTGAAATTAAATTGACGATCAAAGCGCAGATCGTGAAAATTTGTTACCCTAGCATAGGGAATTTTTCATCTTCCTCGAGCAATATTCGATTCGCGTTGAAACACCAAAATTAGACGCATTAGGTGCTGCTAATTAACCATCCACGAATTTACGGCCATGATTCGGTAATTCAATGGAACGTCAAACTGTTATTGAAACGGAGTAAATCCATTAAAACGAAGTTGCAAGAACCTACTGTTCGTAATCGAGAGCACAAAAGCGCCATTTACGAGGCACTTTTCACGAAAAACACCAGGATTAAATGGCAATTCGACATCGAGGAAGGTATTTCAAATATTAAAAATATAACTAAAATTCAAACATTAATTACGTAACGCGAGGTTATCACATTTTCGAGATTATGCACAAGCTGTTAAGATACACGGCATATCGCGGTTCGATGTTCAAATGATTTATTTTCATACTTATTACGGCCGTAAAACCCGATTACGATTCCATCATTCACGCAGCGATAAAACGAACAAAGCAAATAATTTATATCCGCCATTAAAAAACAAAAAATATTCCATTTTAATGAGTAATCACCGATATCCGAGACGTCGTAAAAATAATCAGTCCCCGTACGTGAAATACGCCATTAAACATTTGCACTTTACGTGCAATCTCGCGAAATCTAATGCGAGCTAATCGGATCGATGACTTTAACGAGTTATCGATCGCGATGGTGAAGATTACCACGAAAAACACAAAATCATTGCAAAGTAAATAGGATATCGCATAACCCAATTTCAAAATTAACCAGTCCTATCTTATCTTTGCATTCCTGCGAAAATTCCTTCGAAAATCGGCGATAAGAGGAACGCGATCGATCGACGATCTTCGATTCCTGATCCACGATATTTCCATCGGGATCCATCGTTACGTCCCCCGAGATCGTAACCAAGCTGGCCATACATCATTCCGCTAAATAATCAAATTTCTTGACGCGAAACGAGCCTACTCGTGCGCACATAAACCGTTCCCGCGTGAATCAGCCGACTATTATCGGAATCGAGACGTAAAGGTCACTGACTGCACTTCTTTGCTATTAGGCAGTCACGGATGAAGCTTTTGCAAAATATGCGAAACAGACAAATTCGTAACATAAACGTCAAAAGCAGGCAAGGTTCCATGACCCTTGCCTTGGTAATCCTATTCCCCAATTTGAATTAAAATAATTTTTAAATAATTTACTCGATATCTGTGCTAACGTGGGCCTAGTCTACACTGTTCAAATTCACGTATGAAAAAGAAGACTGTCGTGTAACGAAATAACGATAAAAATACCGATCGTTAAGTTAACGCGAGAGCCAGCGAGAAGCCACGATGATCAACTCCATATTAACTGCATTATTTATAAGTTTCACTATTTTAGTACCAGAACATACAATTGGTACTTAAGTCTTCATAAATCAGACAATGATCAGCTGCATCCTAACTAGTTGCTCTATCTTAACGCCAGATCATACAATTGGTACTTAAATCTTCATAAACCAGACAGTCAACTTCGATAGATCAATTGACCAGTTTGGCTTCCGTGTCTCTCGCTGATACATGCTACTCAGCCGCTAGATTCTGAAAGGCTTCGCGCGTTTGTGAAATCGGTGATTTCATATGCAAGAACCGAGGCCTCCGAGTGGGTTCTCTGTTTCCGAGCGATGCCACGTTCTAAACTCGCCGCGAAATCGACAGATCGATGGGACCGACGATACCGACGCTGAAACGGCCTGTCGGCCGCGCGATGATTCACCGACGGGCTCCTTCAAGGACGGTAATCTTTATCGCGGCCTGACACACGACACACATTATCGGCGATCACTCCGGCGAAAACACCCTCAACGAGAAATGACGAATCCTCTGGGACGGTTATCGAGTTATCGTAGGGTTCGCGGTTCGTTTCTCTTGGTAACCAAGAGGGAAAGCAAGTAGGCTCCTGATCATGAAACTCACTGAACACTTGCCGATTTTGAAGTTAAAGATCTAAACATCGAGCTAGGTGCACGATAAGATTTCTAGAAGCTATAATTCAGCTTGCTGTCTAATATAAACAGCTAACAGGTGTCAACTGTCAATATCTATTAGATACATTAGCTTATCGCGAGAATAAATCTGCTGACTGTTCAGTGACATGATCATAGGAGTGTGCATCACGTGAAGTGTCATTGCATGGAGGGATAAATTGCAAGAGGATGACCGACGTGGTACTGTCCAGGGTTAGGGGTATAGGACATGTCCTCGGTTAGGGGTATCGGAAGCGTTGCTAGATAGACTACTCTAGCTGCTTCTCTGGAAATAGTCACGGTCACTGATACCGATATTTGTCACAGATAACACGGTAGTGTATTCGACGTATTATTGCCGTATAGCAGGGTCAGACTAGCTGAAGCTCGTCAAGCTTCGCAGCCTAACCGTGGACAGTACCGATCTATCATCGGGACTCGTGAGAACGCGGTTTTCCAAGGCGTCTCGAGGGCCTCGCGTTTCAAACAAGTAACAGTATACTCGAGCTAAAGGGGTAGCGCTAAAGGAGGCAGCTCGAAACAGAGAACACACAGGAGGGACAAGCAATTAAAGAATGTTTGAACATTCGTTCACCTGTGTCATCAGTCGATCGGCTCCGGTACCCTCCTCATCCTTGAAGATGATGTCCGCGTTGTAGTTGGGCACGAGATCCCGGAACCTGGAATCATGCCTGGACACGCGACCCTCGCTGAGTCCGCTTGCCGGCAGCGTATTCTCGCTAACGTTCGGCACATGCTGCTTGAACACCAGAGGCGTGAGTTTCCTCAGACCCGGACGTCGTCCGCCACCCCTGCCTGGTCCACAGGCCAGGACGAGGCCACCGTTGTCCAGCACCGGTAGCCAGAGGCCGAGTATCAGCAGAAACACTTGGAGTAGCGAGGGTGTAGTGCCTCGCCTCCTGACCGCGCAGTGATGGCTCGCCTGAAGGCCGCGGCGGCGATGATGATGGTGCACCATAATCACGTGGCTCTGCCTCGAGGACGACCCTGTTCGGTCACTGGTTCCTCGTGCACCTCGCGGACCTTGCTGCGCTCGTCGTCGTCGGGCACGTCGACGGTACCACCGAGTCCTCGCCACCACCACCGCCGCCAGCGATCCTCCTCCTCCACGGCTGACAGAACGACGACGACGACGACGATGACGACGACGACGACGACGACCTAGACAACGGCGACAACGACGACGAGGACGACGCGTTGGACGAGCTGCCGGTCCTTCTTTTCCTCCTCTTGCCACTGACCTCACTCACGCTTAACCATAACCAGGGCATCACACACCCCCCCTGCACGCACTCTTATAACCGTTGTGACCGTTGTAGCTGCGTCTAATCACCACCCGCGAGAGCTGTATAATCCGGAGGATTTATATCGGATGATATCGATGGTCGTATCGTTAATCGACCGGCGCGACAACGTACCGGCACCGTGACGTTTGCCACTGCGCGAGAATCTCCGGGGGAGATTCTCTCTCACTGTTCTGCTTTCCTTTCTCTTTTTATCCCTTCTTCGGTCGGTGGTTGTATCGTCGGGGCTCGATATCGGTTAATTCGACGACGAGGAAGAATTTCACGTGGATGCCGCCCGCCGACGATGGGTGGTGCTTTAACGATCTCGCGCGATCGAGTCGAGGGTTCCTCGATCGTCGAGTTTTCTACGCATGCTAGTGACCGATTGCAACCATATCACGGTGCTACGTAACGGAGTAGCCGCGAGTACACCACTCTCTCCCTCATACGCTCGAGTGAAAATTCCCTGCACCGCGTTCTCCAATGTCAAACCGCGCGCACCCGGCCGACGACGGATCGTCGAACTTTCGTCCCGTAACGATACTCGTACGAGATGTCGAGGCTCTTTTGTGCAGATGCGTACACCCGATCGACCTGACTCACTTGACTGAACTCGATATCCGAGCACCAGTCCGGAAGCTCTGTGGCGCACGTTTTCCGGACGAGTCAGTGGTGGGAAATGCGGGATGGGTTTCGGTGGGTACCCTGCGTTGTTCCTTTGGCCTGGTCTTAGGCTCCAGGGTGCCCCTCTTCCTGCCCCCACCAACGTGGCCAACGGCCGGCCGGGCCGCTGGCGCTGGTTGCAGCTAGCTGCTGGCCCCCGTGGGGCTCTCACGGCCTCCGAGCGTGGTGGTGGATGATCCCGCTCCCACCACGCAGGGCCTTCTGGTACGCGTTACTGACGTCACCGGGCCCGTCGAGACTCCATTGGTCGGGGCGGGGCGTGCGCGAGGTAAACGAGGACAGGTGCACCGCGCTGGACGGAGATCAGGTCGACGGGATAAAGACGGCGAAAGAACTGGAGGACGAGAGGAGCAGGGGAGAGGATGAGAATCTTTTCAGCTTTCTCCTCGTTCGATTCGGTTTGATCGCGGCCTATCTTCTCTCTCCTTCTTTCTCCCTACTCGCTTTATTCCTCCGTTGCTCCGTTCCTCTTTCCAATCTTTCCGTTTCTTCGGCTTCTTTGCCACAGCCTGTCCCTCTTCCTTTTACGTACCCGCCGATCCCCACCTTCGGCCCGTTCGATTGATCCTTCCTTTTCGTCCTTTTCGTTGTCGTCGTTGTCGTCGCAACAACGTTCTACCTTGTTACTCGCCTCTCCTTCTCTCCTCGAAAAGGTTTCCCCGTTGCTCCGCGCGCCCGCCGCGCCCTCGCCTTCGTCGGGGACTTTACGCTCCAAGAAAGTACCGGCCGCCGCACGGCGTTGCGCCAAGATTCTCAATGACCGTGTCTCTCTACCCCCGGGGCTGGCCGCGCGTATACCTTAGGCGTCGAGGCGTAGGGTGGGCTGACCTTGACTTCGGCACCCGTCAAGTTTCGCTCTTCTTTACGATTTTCGCTCGTTTCGCCGCCCTTCCTCTCCGTCTCGCGCCTTCCGTTGCTCGCGCTCTGCCGCCACGTCGATTACCGCTTTTGTCGCATTCCTACGCCGTGTCGGCGGCCTCCGGGGTTCTTATTAAACGCTACGCTCCGCGATTCCTCTCGTTCCATGCTGCTCGTACAGACGCGACCAGCGTCGCGCTTCCCTCTTCGCCCATCTTCCGCGAGCAACGAGCTCCACTCGCGTGTCACGTTCACGGTTCCGGAGCACGGACCGGATTAAACGTCCTTTTTCCTCTTGGCCAAGTTCGTGCGTCGTTATCGTGGATGGAACGAATCCAAGGACGGTGTACACATGAGCGATTCGATCGGGACACTGCGGAGGGAAGTCATCGATCTTCGGTTATAAGTGGCGCTACGTTTATCGGCTCCCGAACACCGATAATCGCGCGAGATTAATCGCTCATTGTCGTCTCCTTTTCTTTTTATCGTTGAGAACGAAGCAGTTCGGTGGTAGCCTTGGGAAAATGATTTTTGCAAAATTTTCCTCCCCTTTTTGGAACGATAAATGTCGATGGTTCGCTGGCGTGAATGCGGTTCTTGCGTTTCTACGGGTTTAAGATTAATGAGATGCTATATCGAAATGTGTTTAATTAATTGGTATGTAATGGACGTGTTACTTGATGTTTTGGGTTTTGTGACAGGAAATACGCTTGCAGAATGAGCGAAGTAATTTTTGGAAGATTGAGAAAAGTAATGCAGTTTACAATGGCGAGTATTTGTAGGCAATGCGAGTAGCCGAACATCCGTCATGCATTCGTGCCTTACACAATGTAACACTTTCTTAAGACCAACTTTTCTTTCAAGTATTTCTAAAATATGCATACTTGCTGTCGTACCGGTGCACAAGATTCCAACAATCGTAGAGGGAAAGATTCAACGATGTCTTTGAACTCCCGCGTCTGATCTTTTCCTCCGTGAAAAGAAATTCTTTTTCTCGACACGTTGAAGTTAATCTACGATCATTCACGAGGTAAGTATTTACAGAAAGAAGATAAAGAAAATACGATGATGTTATTAACGACGTGAATTTTATGCAAATTTTTGAATATGCGCCGAATATGCATATATTTTAGTAGATAATATTTTAAGAGAAAAGTCAATCCCAAGAAACTGTAGCCTTGTATAGAGTACAAACACGTGGTCGACGTCCGTTCCAGGAACCACGGCTTGCCCTACACTTAGTTTGTTTTTAATTTCTCAATAGTCGCTCCGTTTGTTTTGAAGCTCTTTCACAAAGGAGAATCGAACGGTCGCTGTTCCTTCCGTGGAATTAACACATTCACTGCCGATCGCATTTCCATCACCCAACTACTGTACAACGAGTAACTCTTATAGAAGATGTAAAAATTCATACAAACTTCTTTACATAAATTATTACGAAAGTTTTCCTCGAAATTCCATGACTCTCAACTTGCATCTTTCATTCACGTCGGTATCCACACACGTATTATAAACGTACGTGCTCCCTCGTATCCAACACGTACACAGTGAACGTGTTAATCACTGAAAACAACGACTGGACATTAAAAACTGAATAACATCGTATACGTTATACGTATAGTGCAATAATAAAGTTTTATACATATGTCCCGTCGTACCTTATTCGTTATCTTTTCCCAATCTTCGAAAACGTTGCAGTAATCACTTCCAGCCTGCTAGACTACCAACGACAACTTCTTTTACGTCAATTAAAAATAAGAAATGGTAATAGGAAATGGAAAATCGACGACCCAGAGCTAGGTATCGAATCTCGCGCCACTCGACGTGGAACGGCACGTACCTGATACGATCGCGATGATAACCACGCTTACACGACTCCCGGTGAAGAATTTTAGTGACGAGGAACGCGAACCACACGGTGGAACGTCACCAGCCACAGCTATGAGCCAACTGATATGAAAGTCGAAGTCTAGCGAAGGACGAGGAGGGGAGGGACGAGCCACGGCCTACCAAAGTGTTCGGTTTACTGATAATAAACATCTTTTGTGAATAAGTGGCCGCCCCACCAAACCGTTCCAGAAGCAATCTATCATTGACACATCCGAATTTACACGGTATAAACAAAATCCTTGGAATCCCGATAATAATACAGAATTTATGCGACGCGTGAGAGAAAGCTTTCATTTCTTCTCCCTTTTTTTTTTCTTTTTTGGAGATAATTAGATAAAGATAATCGAGATGAATGTGTCTGGCTGTGTTCCGACTTTAAAGTCTCTTTGGTAATGCTTACGCAATGATTGTACTGACTAGTAAAGAGAGGTTTCTTTCTTTAAACTGGAGGAATTGGTAGATCTCTTCGGCGTGATGTTTGATTTGTTTAACAATTTGATAGATTTGCAGAAGTTTGTCGCAAGTCGAGCAAGTGAAGATTTAAGGAATTCAGGAATTTGTATATTTGGTAAATTGATTCATGTGGAAAAATTCGCAGAGGTTTCATGTGGTTTGTCTCGTGAAAAATTAAACAGACTGTCGAAGAAACGGAGAAACAGTTATTTATACAAGAAAACTTTGAAATAAGAAGAATGTTGACTTTGCAGAAGTCAATGAACGACCTGCTCGATTGTGTATCGGCTTAATAGTTGTAGCTATGTCAGACAAAATTTCTAACATTTCTACTTGGCTTTCTATCAAATTGTACGCATTCTTCGCATTTTCTCTATGTTACGTTAGGCATGAAGAAATAATATTCATGGCTTAATCCCTCGATGCTGTTCATTTACAAACCACTTTAAAATGGAACATTTTTCTGTTGAGATTCATGTAAAAATATTGCACCATTAAAAATAAAGGAGTATCGTTATACCTAAAGTAGATACTCTGTCATGAAAACTTTCAATACAAATATTTACACAAAGAGATTACTTTAACAATCAAGTTCCATTTGTACAATGTCGAATACAGCATAACAATAATAAAATGCGAAGAGATATTTCAATTCCAAAAAGAAACCAAATATATTATTATACCAAAGAGAATCTAAATAAATAATAACGATATCGATACATTCTCTCTCTCCCACAAAACAAGAAATATAATAACATTCTTATTAATAATATTATCATAACAGTAA